TGCCTGGCGTATAAAGGTCCTTAATTATTCATAATTTTGTTTGTATTTATCTAAGACACAAAAGCTGAGAAGCAGGGAAAGAGAGCTCATTCTTTCTGAAGTCCAGAGCTGTTTCTAAGTTATAGTGCATCAAACCTTACAGACAAATTTGTTTAATAAAACATTACAATTATTACTGGGTACCAGTGGCTTATACTTGTAATTGCAGCTACTCAAGAGACTGATATCTGGAGGATTGAGGTTCAAATCCAGCCTGGTCACAAATTGTATTGTATATCCAAAATAGCCATCAAAATAGCCAGCTATGGTTCAAGTGGTAGAGGGCTGGTTGAGCAAATGAGCCAAGCCAGCATGAGGCGTGGGTTCCAAATCCCAGCACCAGAGACACACAAAAAAGGTTACAGTTATCTCACAAACACAAGAACTATATGAAAACTTATTAACTTGTGTCACAAAGTTATGGATTGAATTAGTATGTTTCTAAGCTTTCTTTCTTCATTTGCAGGTCTGGAAAAGTTGAATCTATTTTGTAGTAGAAAGGAAGACTTCCTAAATAGCCTGTGAAGAGCTAAGGTCTTAGCTCAGTTTCATGAGAAGAGACACAGCAATAATGACTATTTTAAGCTAATTTTTAGCCATGGAAACTAAGTTCTCGGTAATGACTGAATCCCTTCTGCAATGCCACTTCCACGCTTGGATGCTGATCAGCTAGGATGCTGTTCCCTTGGGCAACTAGCCTATCCTGCTGAGGTTGCAGGGAAAGGAATTACCAAGGAGATAGACAGTAGAGACTTTGAAGGAGGTATATGAGAGAAAGCTTGAAGATTCATTGACCATATTACTTTGGGGCACATAAAAAGTGATGTGGAAAAGGAATCAAGCTGCCTATACTAGAGAGTATAAGAAATATATGATATGCATTCCTACACAGTAAGAGTTTGGTTGGCTCTTGACTATTTCAATCTCTCTGTTCAGCTCGAAAGTCAGGAACATCTGAAAATTTCATTGATCAAGTTCATTGGGTGGCCTCCACATACTGGAACCTTGGTCTCCCTTCTTTGTGACCAAAGACCGTGTGCTATTCTTGGCTTCGGCTAAAGGGAGAGTGAATGAATGGTTTCTGGGAGGGCTCTGACAAAGGTTCAGAATAGCCCTGAAGGAGTTGGTGGGGAAATAGGATGGAATTCCAGGCCCTCAATATTAATAGCCTATCATCTACACCATTAAAAATTTTTTATGGATGTCTATCACCTGAGGAGGAATGTTATACTTTAATTATTATTAGGGCAATTATAAAGCTACATTACTACTCAGATCTAATCTGCTGGAACTTAATCTGGAAAAGAAAAACAGTGGAAAATGTAATTTATTCTCTCATACAACAGTCATGTACAGATGCTAACAACACATAAAAATAAATTATTTTAAATTATATTTTATTTTGTAATTGATATAAGCCAGAACATCTGGTTTATACTTTGTAGGTTAAGACTATAATTAGAATGTGAGAACAGAAATGACCCAAGACATTATCTATTTTTTTCTACTTTTAAGTTGGAAGCTGCTGTAACATCTTGGTCAAGAAGAGATAATTAAATATAAGAATGGGATGGATTTGACCACACAACTGCAATTTATTAACCTTTTAGTTGTCTATCCTCAGGCAAATTTTACTTAGCTTTTTTCACCTTTATTTTATCTGTTTGTAAAAGAGTAATAATAGAAAGAATACACTATAGAATTATTGTAGGAAAACAAAGGAGGAGGCAACAATGCTCAATAGAAAATGTACTCATTACCTTGCTCATGTAACTGTAACCTCTCTGTATATCATTTTTACAATAAAAAACATACAAAAATATTAAATCACAAAAAAGAATTATTGTAAACATCAGTTGATGCTGTATACCAGGTATTTGCCACAATACTTTCAGTCAATTTATGTGATGAAAGGTAGTTTATGTTTGTCTAGAATTCACATTGATCTTTAATAACTATGCATAAAAGTAGAACTAGGGTCCCTGTAATTTAGACACATAATAGTTTTTTTAATTAATCACATGACCAAAAGACTAAATTCTTGAATCAGAACTTTTGTGCCATGTGGGTGCCGGAGATAAAGCTAAAAAGCACAGTGTTTAATTACTTCTCTAGCTTGTAGAAATTTTAGAATACTTTTCTATTAGCCTAGGCAGAATACATGGGGGAAAGGGCCACTTTAAAATGTGCACCTGTCACGAACTATATCAATATCCCTGACAAGAGTCAGGGTCAAGGTTGTCTCAGATACAGGAGACCTCAGGGTAGTAGTGCATCTGCTCTCTATAAATATATAATTAAGTGATTAGGTAAAATACTTTAGCTTCTTTTAGTTTAAGAGGCCTGGGAATTCTTAGAGTATTTTAAAACACAGTCCTGAGATAATGGAAATAAAAGTTATCTTCTAAGCTATGACAAGCACATTTCTCTTTAGTTAACTTAATCTATACTCTGGTGGCATGTGGACAGATTATTCCTTTAAATATGTGGGATAATGACTAAGAAGTTAAGAGAAGCATATGAGAAATTTTCTAATTTTCTGATATCATAAAGAGTCAAACACTGTCTAAAATTGTTCCAGAATCATCATTTATGTTCCTCAAGGTACTACAATATGAAAGTTCTAAAGTTAGGACATGATTTTTTATTGTTGCTCAAGGGTAATCACCTCTAGATGAGCAATAGTATCTTTTCAAATGCATTTGTGGAGGGGCAATGATCTCAGTGACTTGGAGAAACTTAAATAGAATAATGTAGCTTGTGACTCATGCCATTGTTATTTTTCTTAAGGAAAACAAAGCTTCCCTTTGTCTTCCCTGTCTCCTCCTTTCACTTCCATTGAACGTACTAGAATTCTACCTCAGATTTAAAAAAAAAAGAGGCTAGGAAGCGGAATGGATAAGAAATGACTAAGTAGAAGCAGGTGGATCTGCCCACAGAAAATGAGGCTATGGGGAGAGAATTAACAGGAGGCAAGATACCATTGGCCTAGACCCAAATTCTAGTTTTTAAATATGGTAACCATGGGTTAAACTTGCTGTACATGGTAAAACAATTGCCTACCTGACTCTGAAAGTCTGCTGGAGTACTTTAGATCAGTTGGTGATCTATTTGAATTTTACACATGGAAACCACAGCAACTTCAGCACACTATAGATGCTTCTAATACTCTCATTTCCAAACCACGGGCAAGATAGCTTTGGGAACCACATACACTCACAAAGGTGGCACAGAATAGTTTAAATATTTTCTTTTTGTACGAGTACTGGAGCTTGAACTTGGGGTTTGGGTGCTGTCCTTGGGTGTTATCACTCAAGGCTGGGCCCCAACTTCATTTCTGGCTTTTTGCTGGTTAATGGGAACATCAAACCTCAGATCTCAACCCCCTCAACAGCTGAAGTCTTGAGCCACCAGTGCCCAGCAGAAATAGTTTAAATTTTGAAGAGAAGCAACACAAATAATATTTGCCAGGTAACTAGAAACGACAAGTTAGATGTAGCTTACATGTTTAAAACATTCTCATTTGGCTCTATTCCTCTAAATGAAAGTATAACTTTGCCACACTGGTGAATGTGAAAAATCAATGTGGGGAAGGAATATCTCTGACTAGTCTGATTATAAGATTTGAGAAGTTCTTGTTAAAAAGTAATTTGTTTGGGAGACATGGGGTGGGGGAAAGGGATGGTAGGGGAAAAACAAAGGAGGGGGTAACAATGCTCAATGGGAAATGGACTCATTACCTTGCTCATGCAACTGTAACCCCTCTGTACAGTAACTTTACAATAAAAATATTTAAAATAAACAAGTAATTTACTAAAAATGACATGAAGGCATATCTATATATTCACTTGTATTATTTCTTAACTAGTTAGAGTTGCTAGCCAAAAATCAAATAAGTTATTTGGACTTTGCAACTTTTCCGTATTTCTTTGTCCCCAGGAGTACCTTGGGAAGAACCTCTAAGACAAGCAGGAGCCACAAACTGAGAAAGTCTGCTGTGTTCTAACATTTGGAGAATGTATAAATAGGTGCCAACTTCAGAAACAAGTGATGTTTTGCTGTTCGTTTTCATATCTAGCATGAGCTAATGCTTCGGAAGATGGAGTTCTAAAAGACTGCCTTTAAAAATATGACCCAGAGCTTTTGTTAACCCTCGGGCAGCAATTCAGTTATCCCTCAGCTAAAGCAGAGATCCCCACAAAGGCACACTCCAGAGGAGGGAAAGAGAAACAAAGCCCCTTGTTTTGGTCTCCTCTCCTTCCCTATTTAGGTTTTAGCTATTAGACTGGAAAGATATCTAAGGATATCTGTTAGACTGCCAGACCAATTGTTATTTTTCAATCACTCCTTAACATGGTTATAGAGATCAATCTGTAGAACTAGTCTATTTGTACAAAGTGAAGGCATGCTTTTGTTTCTTTTCTAGCTGCATGAATTACATAAAAATAAGCTATTTTTAGTTTAAAAAATTATACAGTGTCCTGTAGGTCATCAAAGAGTTATTTAGCTAGGCATTTGTGACTCACACCTGTAATCCAAGCTACTAAGGAAGCTGAGGATCTTGATATGAAGCCAGCCAAGGAAGGAAAAGTTCAGGAGACTCTTTGTCTATCATTAACTAGCCAAAAATCAAAAGTGGAGGTGTGGCTCAAGTTGTAGAGTACCAGTCTTGAACAAAATGTTAAGTGAGGACATGAAGCCCAGAATCAAGTCCTAGTTCCAGCACAAAAGAAAATAAAAGAGTCATCTATTAAATTATCAAAGTCTTTTAGCCATCAATTTTATTGAATATAATTTACAGACTGTATTGCTTCATACATTTCCATCCATGATTTATCCTGGCTTTCTGTATGTGTGGCTTCTCTCTGTAAGTTACTGGGGCAAGAATAACTAGATTGCCAATTCAAGCTTGTGGATTTCACCCAGAGTCATCGTTATGAAAGGAATCATTGCTACATTACCATGGTTGTTGACTTGATGTAGACATTGTTTTTCAGGTGGCAGTTTCCGTCATTGGGCACCACGATGCCTGCCAACTTGCTATCAAGAGCAAGATGAGATGTCTGATCTGTCATCACCAGCAGCAATCTTTTAGCTTCTTTTCGCCATCCAATGTGACTCTTGAAATAAACATGTATAATTAGACCTTGTACAATCACATAGATCTGTCCTGTGTTCTTTGCCTCAAGAAAACAATGTTTGAATTGGCAAACATGAAGCGAGGATATGCGAGGATAAGAGTTCAAAGCGGCTTGCTCAACAGGGTCCACAATTATCTGTACATCCTCTATTTCACCACTGTCATTGAGCCCACAGACTGCCAGTGTTGTACTGGAGGAAGCATCAGGACTCAAGAAGGAACATACGTGATGTATCGTGGGATAGCGTGGTTCTCCCGTGGGATGAACAGCCCTTTTGGATTTTAGTTATGTCCATGTGCTCAAGTTGCTCTTGCCTTTTGTAAAAAATATTTTCCCAGTTTCATCCCTCCCATCTGTACAAAGTGAGTCATATGTGTGATAAGTTCATGGTCAGAGGGGTGCATATTCTTCCAAACTATGTTTCACCTCACAGACCAGAGAGAAAATAAAATCTCTTCATTCTTTCAGAGCATTGCATCTGAGCACTCAAACCTTTATTGACCTGACACATCTTACCTCACACACAGCTGCCTGAAGCATGGCATCAAACCCTCCTTCAGGGGTATCTATGTTTCCGGATATCTTTTGTCTGTGCACTGCTTTTTCAAACTCCGTGATATTTTCTGTCAAGGATAGGACATGGATGTAGCCATGGGGAGGCATACAGTCTAAATTGTAGTCACTGCATGGGAAAAGAAATGCAAAGTGTGTTTTTCTATGTAAACTTGAGAGTTTCAGAACATAGCTAAAATTATTCAGTTAAACAGAAAGAAGTAGGTATTTTTTGGGGGGCATAGGAAAATTTAATAACACAAAAATCTGAAAAATTAGAGGATAAATTTAATCTTGCTGAATACTTCTTTGGAGTAAGAAATAAAGCCATAATGTTTAATGTTTCAAAAATAAAGATTAAATATATTTCATTAAATGAGACAACTAGGGATATTCAATGTGCAAATAAGGAGGAATATAAGAATTTGGAGTAATTTCCTGTTATAGTTGGCCAAAAACCATCTGAAAATCACATTTTGGGAAATACTTGTGAGAATTAACTGAACTATATTATTGTTTCTTGCTGTTTTTGTTTGTTTGTTTGTTTGTTTTTCTAGTCCTAGGGCTCAAACTCTGGGCCTAGGCACTGTCCTTGAGCTCACTTTTGCTCAAGGCTAGCTTTCTACCACATGAGCCACAGTTCCACTTGTTGCTTTTTCTATGATTAATTGGAAATAAGAACCATGATCTTCAGACCTCAGCCTCCAGAGTAGCTAGGATTACAGGCATGAGCCACCAGCACCTAGCTCTCACTTTTTTTTAAAACGATGTTTAGACTAGACTTACAGTGAGCTATTAAAATTCATGAAAACTGCTTTCCTGACAGCTCAAAATGAAGTGAGATCGCCTTCAAGGGAAGGTTCAAGCTGGGCATGATGACACAGATTTGTAATCCCAGCAGTTGGGAGCCTGTAGCAGGAGACCACAGCTCAAGGTCAGCCTTGGTTACATAGTGAGATCTTGTGTCCAAAAAGAAAAAAAAAATGAGAGCAGAGGAAGTTGATAAAGTTGCCACTAGGAGATAAATCAGGTCTCTTCTGGTAAGATAGGTAGTTTTAGTAAGTTGGAATGTGTAGTAGAAGATGACTTGAGCATTTTATGGTAGCAGAAAATATGTTAAATTAACATGATTTATATAACAATAACTACACAGATTCATTTCTCTGAAAATTCAATATGCTAAAGGTGGTATCATGAGAGAACTTGTATATCTAAGATTTGTTCTCTTCCTGGTAGGACAAGTGCTATTTGGAGTCAGAATTGCAACACGGTAGGAAAAAAGGGCTCTTTGTAAATCATCAGTTTCTCCTCTTTTGATTCACTCCATGAGATAGCCAGGCTTTCTTCATGATCATATCATAAAAACTTAATTGTGACAGAGATGGAGAGATAGATAATTAACATGATAAATACGTTAATTTTTGTCAGGCTTGAAGTCAATAATTTTGAAGCAAACCAAAAGGAGAAATGAGTAATTTCCACAAAGGTATTTGTAAACATAATAGCATGGTCAGTAGATGTTTATCTAGAGTTTATACCAATATTATTTAGGTTTTGTGTTCTGTGACAAAAAGTGAAGAAATAACATTTGAAGAAATAGAATATAGGAAACCCGGGCTATAAAGAGAAGTTTTCAGATAGAAACAATCTTCTTGCTCGCATGCTTTGGATTCCAATTTATAAAACAAAATTCCATACTCTGGTAAATTTGTTATAGAAAAACTAGATGTAACAAAAAATAGTGATCTACTAGTATCCACATCAAGTAGCAGATACCTGCATTGATTATGAATCCTTTCTGGGTGGATGCTAATGTATGGTGAAACAGTTTTATCAACATATGACCCAAATCCAAGGCGGAAGTCATGGGAGAAAAATGCCATTTTTCTAGATAAGTCATTTCCAACAGAATTTAATTTTTCTATATTATTATGCATTGATGCTGATACATCAACAAGATAATAAAGATCCACAGGATATTTCTTCAAAGGGTGAATTTTCAGCATAAAATTAGCTTCAGCTCCTGGTTCAAAGAAAGAAAAGCATCACATAGTTTTTATTTTATGTATCTCAGCATGAACTGTCAATAAGTCACATTTCAGCATCTAGAGAAATTTACACATTATGAGACTTGGAATATTCTGAAATAATTAATCATCTATTTTTCAAAATCAGTTTCTTAGTTTCGAGTTCTATACAGACTAGCTAGACTTAATAATAAATGCACTAGCTCCATACAAATCTAAGTATCGTCACATACACCTGCATTGCCCATGACCGTCAGTAGTTAGAAAAGCTGAATGTAAAGCATCTGTTGTCTCCAGAAGGTTTAAGGGGCTATGGGATGGTTTTATGCAAACCAGAAAAATTAAATTTTATCAAAGGCATATATATATATATACATATATATGTATATATTCATTCTTTTGGTTTAAGGTGTATTTACAGATGTGAAAACTCTGGTTCTGACCAGTACAGTAAACTTTAAAAATAGTGAATATATCATTATACCCAAAAGATGTGGTTATTTCCTCAGGACAACTGTCTACAGTTTCCTATCTCAGTTCTCTGTCACATAATGGTTTCACACAAGGACCTCACTATTCCTTTAGGAGCCCAAAGCATTGGTATGTTTAATTTTATTTTTAAAATATGTTGAAAAAAGTCACTTATAGTTTGTGAATTTCACTTTAAAACTCTAAATCAAATGATTTTATGTCATTAGCTATTTTTGTCCATGGAAAATATTTTGAATGGGAAGTATTTAAAACAAATAAATGATTTGTATATGTGATTGGTAGGCCAATTTCCTTATTAAGAGAAACTTCTAATTTATCAACTCTTACTGTAGCAGTATTTTCCCTTAATTCATTCCACAAATTGTTTTTCTACTGAATTACTTAACCTATCAAAATACTAGGGGTTTACTGGCCTATAATACAACTATGGCAGGAAGAATGTGCTTCATGTATAGGGAATCCCTTTAAGGTAATGCTCATCATTTTGTAGCTCAAGGATTTAGAAGGAGAAATTCAGCGTGCATAGCTCAGCTAAGCCTATTTTCTTTTCTCAATCTTTCCCTTTTGAAACCATAAATTCTGCTCAGTTTTGAGCCCCTGTGAAAAGTCAGTTCCTTTGGAAGTGTTCTGCAACATAGGAAGAGAAACTAAATTTGTGAGAATGTTAGAAAATGGCACAGAAACAGGCTAGATTCATGAGAAATATACATACAGCACAGTTGAGGAGTGCAATTCACGTGAAGGGGCTTGAATTTCAATGTATTGGTCAACATTTAAAAATAAATATATAGTATATATGACAATACATTTTATATTTGGTATATATATGTGGTATACATAATATGTAAAATGTTATATAATAAGCATAATATGCATATGAACTGTTACCTCAGTGCCTTCTGCACTGACCACGTGGTATTTTTATCTTGGTTAGTCATTGCCATGTATTGTGACTCTGTGTAAAGACAAGAGGTTATCTGCTTTCATAGAAGCCTTGCTAGATGCACCCCTTATTCAGCATACTGTGCTGGAATCTCAGCAAAAGTATGAGTTGGTGAGTTCAGCAAAAAGGCACAGTCTATGTAGCATCAGCAAAGGTAGAGTCCTTGGAGGCCTAAGCTATTCAGGGTGCTCTAACCAAATGCTGGTCACACAGGGAATGTCAGCAGACATCAGCTGTTCTTCACAGCCAAGTCAGCATTTTCTAATGTCATTGGCGTCAGCAAAGAGGAAGAGGCTGGGAGGAAGCTTGTGAAAAGGTCAGGTATGAGAATGTCTATGCTGCTGTGGCCTAGCTTTGAATTTCCTAGGTGCTGGCCTTAGCACAGGCACCTGGGGCAGCTGAAGTTCTGAGTCTGAGCTAAGACATTGGAAGGACAAGCTGTCAATAAAAGGAGACAGGGAGCTTTTCCATACACTGGCCTTTTAGTACTTGCTGGAGAGAAGAGTAATTGCTAGACTTAACTTGTGAAGCCCCTAATATCCCATTAAGTTCTAGCTTTAAGTTTGGCATTCAAGGTAGATAGAGACAGGGTGCTTTTTAGATACTACCTGCTTTGTTTGTTAAAGGAGGAAACGGAAGGGTTCAAGCACGAATTACTAGGTCTTGTCCATGTAAGCTAGAGACATAGTCCACAATGTGCTTGCAAGCTGACTTTAGAGTGGATTATTATATACAAGGGACTTAAAAAATTTAAATATATATTTTTATTGTAAAGATATTGTACAGAGGGGTTACAGTTACATAAGGTAATGAGTACATTTCCTATCGAGCATTGTTACCCCTCCTCTGTTTTTCCCTACCATCCCTTCCCTCCGCACCTCCCCACCTCCCGCCCCCCCAAAAAAGCTGTAAAGTTCATTTTCAACATAGTGTCTTATACATATCATTGTTACAATGGGTCAACTTCTATTGTTATTTCAGCATTTTGTTATTCCCCTTCCCCTCCCCAAATTAGAAAAATGTATATACAAGATGCAGTGCACAGGAATCAAATACACTGAAAACAGGGGGAGGAACATACAAGAAAAACAAAAAAAAACACATAGTACATTATAAGTACATTAAAAATAACAGCAACAAAGATAAAACCTCTTGTGTAAGGGACAAAAATCTTAAAGACAGGCTTTATAGACAATCGGTATTCCATAGTAAGAGGTAGTAGAAATACTTTCTCATGGCAATATGGATAAGGATAAGGCTTCACTACATAAAACCTCTGCTTTCCTCATACTGGGGTGTAATCAATATAGAGCTAAAGGCTGGATGATATTAAAGAAGGCTTCATTACATCAGTAACCATTATGAGTTCATTACTGACTGGGTAATGACCAGTGTGAGGCAATTGGTGAAACAAATATCATGGATGCTAAGGAAAGGAAGGAAGGCAAAGTCTGATTGTGCCCATAGATTTTACAAAACTGGACTAAACTGATAAAAGCAAGAAAAAATAAACCTTGAATATTCTCCTAAAATATCACCCATTCTCTGCGAAGGTTTGGAAACTGCCTTTACAGGAACCTAGTACTGTGATCATACTGTGTAGTATCGTATTCTTACTTTTTAAAGAGTAGCATACATTAAAAAAAAAAAGTAGCATACACTCAGCCTTGCAATCAAATTGAATTCTTTTCAGAATCTTGAGGGAAGTCTACTAGTCCAGTCAAATAAAACACAAATGTTTAGCTGAAGAGAGAGCCCAGATTCACTGGGTCCTGGTGGCTCATATCTATAATCCTAGCTACTCAGCAGGTTGAGGTTTGAGCATAAAGATTCAGAGCAATCCAAGGCAGATAAATCCACTCGACTCATAATCAGTTAACCAGCAAAAAGCTGGAAGTAAAGGTATAGCTTAAGTGATGGAACACTGGCCAGGAGTAGAAAAAGCCAAATGAGATTGAGAGGCCCTGAGTTTAAGTTCCAAAAGATCTCAGTTCCACCTTTATACTGAGAGTCTGAGATAAAGTAAATCCAAAAGTTGAGGATGATAAAAACTTTATATTTCCATTAAAAATTTCACACATACAATCAAGTAATTTGAGGCTAGACAAGCATCCAATGCATATCCTACAGAATTAAGAAAACTGAGGGATGACTAGGTAGAGGAGAAATGTTGAAAGAGATGACACTGATCAAAATGCACTGTATTTATAACTTTTTGTTAAATGGCAATTCCTTTGTACAATGACTGAAAGGTAATAATAATAATGATTTTGGGTATTGGGTATGTTTGCATTCTGATTTAAGGAGCAAATTTAGTTTTTGAACTCCATTTTCAGTAATGATGTAAGGTTTATTTGCTATAATCTGGGATATTTTAGAGTTTATTATTGAATACGTTAGTTTTTTATGTAAACTCATTATACAACCACTTAGAAACTGTATTGGACAAGGTGCAGAGACATGATTCGGAAAGAGTGTAAACATGAGCTCAGAGTGGTGCTGGGCATTATTTGAAGAAGTGTTATGATCCATTTTGAGGTCTTTGCTCTCCATTAACGGTCCCAGGGTTGTTAGCAAAGAAACTAGAGCGGCCACATGAAAATGAGATCAGAGCTGTCCTAACACACCACTAAACACTGCCTGTGTTTAGGAATATTTCCAGGAATTTAGACCAAAGAGACTGAAAACATTGGGAAAGGAAAGGGAATGAATACATGAGTACTCTCCATTCTTGATCATTCTTCCTGCAAGAATAATCTTTTTTCTCCACACTTGTCCTTTCCAGTGATAATTTAATTGATTGATAAGGCAATTTTTAATCTGATGAATTACATTACTTTTCATTATAGATATGAGCCACCAGGACCCAGTGAAACTGGGCTTCTTCTTCAGCTAAACTTTGAGCTTTATTTGACTGGTCTGGTTGACCTACGCCCAATACATTTTGATCACTTTAAAGCTATCTGTAGGGGCTGGGAAGATGGCTCAGTGGTAGAGCACTTGCCTTGCATGCTCGAGGCCCTGGGTTCGATTCCTCAGCACCACATAAGCAAAAAGAAAAAAGCCAGAAGTGGCGCTGTGGCTCAAGTGGTAGAGTGCTAGCCTTGAGCTGAAGAGCTGAGGGACAGCGCCCAGGCCCAGAGTTCAGGCCCCACGAGGACCCAAAAAAAAAAAAAAAGCTATCTGTACTCTTCAAAGTATCAGCCATTATTCAAGTTATATTCAATTGTATTTTCTCTGTAAATAAAGATAAACTTGGCCTGTGCATTGTATCCCACTGCTTTCAGTTGTAAGCCTGTCATGGGTTAACTTTTAGATTTAATTTTAATGGAAGATCTAAGTCAATGTGCTCTTTTTATCTTACATAACTTTAATTAAAGATACTTCTGTTAACTTTAGGAGTTTGAAGATAAAGGGAAATGATTCCCTAGTTGTGTTTCTAGTATCTTATTTCTTTTATTTTTATTTTTGTGCCAGGACTAGGGCCTAAATTAGGGGCCTGGGAACTGTCATTTAGCGATTTCTCTCAAGGCTGCTGCTCTACGTCTTGAGCCACTTTCA